TTATATTTCCATGTTTTATATGTCCATGTGTTATATTTGCGTGTGTTATATTTGCATGTGTTATATTTCCATGTTTTATATGTCCATGTGTTATTTTTGCGTGTGTTATATTTGCATGTGTTATATTTCCATGTTTTATATGTCCATGTGTTATATTTGCGTGTGTTATATGTCCATGTGTTATATTTCCATGTTTTATATGTCCATGTGTTATATTTCCATGTTTTATATGTCCATGTGCTATATTTGCGTGTGTTATATTTGCATGTGTTATATTTCCATGTTTTATATGTACATGTGTTATATTTGCGTGTGTTATATTTCCATGTTTTATATGTCCATGTGTTATATTTGCGTGTGTTATATTTGCATGTATTATATTTGCATGTTTTATATGTCCATGTGCTATATTTGCGTGTGTTATATTTGCATGTGTTATATGTCCATGTGTTATATTTGCATGTGTTATATTTGCATGTGTTATATTTCCATGTTTATATGTCCATGTGTTATATTTCCATGTGTTATATTTCCATGTTTTATATGTACATGTGTTATATTTGCATGTGGAGAGGGATTTGGATAGAACGATTTTTCTTCAAATGAACAACGGAGACAGTCAGGCGGTAGGATAGGTTGTAGGAAACATCACATGCCAGTATATTAATTAGAACGACTATGTGGTAGATTTTAAACGGTTTTTCACTATAAGGTATACTATACTTTAAAGTGTTTAAGAAAGAGTCAGACTGTGAATGAAACATTAGTAAATATCAGCGTTACTACAAACAACAGTTATAGCGACTAATTAAAGAACTGAGGATGATAGTTGACTAGGTATAAACACAATAAACGCTAGAAACCGGGTTTCGATACCCGTGGTGGGCAGAGCACATATAGCCCATTGTGTAGCTTTGTGCTTATCTTCAAACAAACAATAAATATATATATATTTAATTATTTGTATTACAGAACAAAAATAAATAAGCATTAAAAATAATGAATTCCATGTCCCTTCCATTTATAAAATGTAAAATTAAACCAGAACGTTTCAACCGAAAATATCTAAAAGTGAAATAAATCTATTATGTTATTATTTGTTAAATTTATTTTTAAACGAGGCCCGAATTTCCAACGTTTACACCCATTTTCAGTTTATTATACAAAGTTTCTTCACTTTAGAATAAAAAAAAATCTTAAACTTATTTACCCACTTTTACTCCATGTATGTTCCCTATTTTTCTGGAAATATTTTTCCAACAGTTTAAATGAATATTATGTTAATTTCATGTTAAATATTCAAAACCAAGTGTAAATAATATTAATCATAGAAGTAGCTTACTTACAACATCAACGTATGATAAGTGCTGTGACTCCAGAACTCTTGGGAACGAGATTATGATAAGTAAAATTGAATGAATAATGAGAGCCACCACCAGGTTTCGGTGAACTCGAAGTCTTGAACACTGAAGAGACCTGGTTGTTTATAAGAATTTTATTACACACAGTTTAATTAAACACTGTTTTATTTTCAACAATTCCTTGATGTGGAATTCATAGAAACAAACAAAAAGAAAAAGAAAACTGGTCAAGATAGCTGATTCACGGACCAACACAAATTCAAAAACAAAAAATAACACGTTAAAATAAAACCTTTTCGACATTTCTGGCTTTCCATATTTGTTTTGAATGTATCTTTTATTTAGATGTTATTAATATTTATTGTACTGTTATTTCTTTTCAAGGAAAATATCTGGCCAATAGCTATTTGACTCTGCTAAAGTTCCCTCTGGCGACGAATACTTCAGACAAAGGTTTTATCTAGTATTTTGGTAAAACGTTAACACGAATAAATTTTCTCTAATCTTTAAACTCGAATAGTTCCATGGATGAATAGCAAGTCGACTATATTGAAGATTCCTCTGGCGGCAAAACTTGCAAACACAATTTCTATCTAATATTTCGGTAAAAGTTAATACCAATTCATTTAGTTTAAATTTTATAGCTGAATAACTCCACTGACATAAACATATTCTCAAATAAAAGTCATATATATATTCTCAAATAACAATGATAAACAACAAATGAATCAAGCAACTAAGTTATGTAGTGATCGAAAGTAACAATAAAACATACAAGTAAATATTAATAGATGTAACTGATTGTTTTACTTCAAATTTTGTATTTGATCCAAATATATTTTCGTCTAACAAATTCTTTATTTAAGTTTTCATGTGGGTGAAAATGGTCAATTTTAACTAGAACGTATCTAGATGTGTGATAGGTGAAAGTGGTCAACTCTAAATTCATCATTTCTCCTCTATATGAGCAACAAATTATTCAGAGGTAAGTAGGCTGAAGGTTAAAATAGCACTATATATATGAAAATATTCGTGTGTTTTTAGAACTTTTTCTTTATCGTCGAGCGTGTTCCTGTTTATGGCCATGGTTAGGCCTAACAACACAGTTTATACCAAAGCAAGCTATTGTGAAGAAACAAACTTTCCAGAACTGTTAAAGGAGACCAAAACTACAAACGTCTGTTGTTGTGGCTCCACTTTCTTAGGCCATTCTTCTTGTGAAAATTACCATTGCTTTTCCAGCTATGAATAGAAGCTTTTGAGGCTTCGCCAACTTAAATTTATTATTTAGTCATCATGTAACGGAACGAAAATGCTCAGCTTTATTGTAATGGCTTTTTTGGATCAAAGGGTTCTCTATCGTAATTATAGCTTTCACTTTGTGGTTGAGATCATTGCCTCTAATTGCGTTGAGGCGTGGTTAGTTTAACAATCTCGCTATACGAATATCATCTTATAAAAGGATGGTGTTATATAATTATTCAGTCTTAATTTGACGTTAATGACCTTGCGCTGCCGAAAGGTCTGGAAATTGCCGTGAAAATATATAGGTGCTATGCTTGTTACCCGTATTGCCACGGCTCACACATACACATCACTGCATCAACATATGCGATCGTTCTTATTAAGTGTGATCGAATATCTGGTTGAATAGACGCTGAGATGTATGTGAAAAGATAAACACGCATTTAATTCAATTATTAAACCATACTTAAAGTGTCGATAAGTTATATACATGACTTGACCAAAATCAAATTTATCTGTTTATCTATGTATAAAAACTACTATTGTTTGAAGGACCAACTTACTTGAAATAGCAGAAAATGAACAAAGTTATGAACAGAGACACTAGCGACATCAAGGAGCATAAGAACAATATATATGTTACAGCCGTTTGACTGTAGGAGAAATCCTGTAAGAAAAGAAATATTTCAGTTATTCAGATATAACACATGCAAATATAACACATGGACATATAAAACATGGAAATATAACAGAAATACTGTGCTACATAGCAGACTATATTGTAATACTAGTCCTGTAAATATTATAATGTAGTACTATTCCTGTATAGACTATAATGTAGTACTAGTCCTGTATAAACTATAATGTAGTACTAGTCCTGCATAGACTATAATGTAGTACTAGTCCTGTAGATTATAATGTAGTACTAGTCCTGTAAATATTATAATGTAGTACTAGTCCTGTAAATATTATAATGTAGTACTAGTCCTGTATAGACTATACTGTAGTACTAGTCCTGTATAGACTATAATGTAGTACTCTTGTATTTGTTGATGATAAACAAGTTAGTTTTTAGAATATACCCCCCCCCCCCTCCCTATGTGAGAAGAATTAGATAAAACGGCCCCCACTCTTGTATTTGTTGATAATAAACAAGTTGTTAGTTTTGGAATGTACCACACCCTCTCCCCCTACGTGAAGAGAGTTAGATAAAACGGCCCCCACTTTTGGTGTATAAAATGGTAGATATTTATAAGAGTTTAAGACTCACCTCATTGGTTTATAGACAAGTTAGAATATATATTACTCTGTGACACCACTCACCCCAACCAATGAAATGATAGAGTTTGAAAGGTGCATCCTTATTGAATATAGAGATGGTGATCCGACTGTGTAGAAGAAGTCCTTCCACAAACATCCAATTAATGCTAGCCATGGCAGCGTACATCTTGAGTGTCAGTATTGACTTACAGAGCCAGTCCTGTAGAAATCCACCAATTATCCACAGTTATTATAAAAGTAATTAATCAATGTTTCTTCGTACACAAGGCTGTACAATGGACTATCTGTGAAGGGAGATTGAACACGAAATCTTCAAGCCCACTAATAAGAAAATAATAAAGACTTTTTTTTTGAAGTGTATCATAACTCGTCAGAAATACTGTGCTACATAGCATGGAGAAGGATTATCTCGTCAAGTCCTGTATAGACTATACTGTAGTACTAGTCCTGTATAAGTACTACATTATAGTCTATACAGGACTAGTACTACATTATAGTCTATACAGGACTAGTACTACAGTATAGTCTATACAGGACTAGTACTACAGTATAGTCTATACAAGACTAATACTACAGTATAGTCTATACAGGACTAATACTACAGTATAGTCTATACAGGACTAGTACTACATTATAGTCTGTAAAGGACTAGTAGTACAGTATAGTCTATACAGTATTAGTACTACATTATAGTCTATACAGTATTAGTACTACATTATAGTCTATACAGGACTAGTACTACAGTATAATATTTACAGGACTAGTACTACATTATAGTCTATACAGGACTAGTA